CAAATGGCGCTAAGGCCTTGCCTTGCGTGTTGTCGGGCTGCCATCCTTATCAATCGCGGCATACGTGGCGTCTGCGCCCTCTCGCGCACAACGAGCTCTCTCTCTCGTACTCCTGCTCCTCATAGCCACGTGTATTGTCGTCATACAACGGCCACGTCACAGAAGAAAATGGCAATATTTTCTATGGTGCTACTTTTTCTCCTCACTGACGTTGCCCATTTTGTGATGTAAAAAAATGAACTAAAAATGTGAAGTGCACATTTTTTGATCATTTTTTCATTTTAGGTCATCTAGTTCTTGGACAAAATATTCGATCCCTTCGAGGTTGCCATCTGCGTCACAGAAATTTCTTAACTAATAAACCGATCAGTTAAATTACCTTACTATTTTTTGACTATTTCTGCATCGTCTTGTTCCTTCCCCCTATTGTTTTAGCCATAGATCCCAATGCAAGCTTAATAGGGGCGCTGAGCTGTAGCAACACGCTCCGTCTTCTTGATTACTTTTATATTATATGCATGAGTGATGGTAAAATGATAAAGCATTTGCTTGGCATTGATCGACCCCATTATGGGCCTTGACCAATTGTCTGACTCGAATGGTTTGCTCGACAATGTTTCGGTTGCCAGCCAATAGACAACTTCATAGGGCAGATTCACTCTGCTACGTTGGCCCGTGGTAGCAGTAGTCTCAAAGTCGTGAAAAAGCAAACGAAACAGAATCCACTTGCCAGCAAGAGCAAAGAAAGCAATAAGGCAGAGGGATGAGGCAAAAAGCAGTACGTTCTCTTTCTACATTTCTGGCTAGATTTTTTGTTCAACCTGTTCCTTCTTTACCCTTAAATTTCGTGACCCCTTTTCAGAATTTCGTAACGTTTACCAAATTCGTAGCTTTCACTTCCATAACGGTCACTCCACCATCACCAGTCGTCAGAAGAGAACGTGGGTCGACTGCCTCCAATTCCACACAGAACGATGTATTGGCTGGGCTAATCTGGAACAAAGTGAATGAATAAAATGGAATTTAATGAAGTGATTTCCCGTTATTTCTGTAGCTTGTTCGAGACGCACATGCACGACTTCTGAGACAGTACGATGATTTGGCGCCTTGGCGGTGAGCTGATAGAATCCCTCCACGAGCGAAAACGATGCAAAATCTTCTGAGAATCAAAATTACAATATTTATGCACAAGCTTGATTTCAAGTACAGATGTGGCTCACTGTTCAGCGGCAGATTGCTTTTGACGATATCGATGCCCAGAGCTGTGTTTGACACGCTGAGCACAGCCGTCTCTTGCGTGGTGGAGCTGTAGTCATAGGAGTCCTTGACGCAGATGTTCACATCAAAATTGGCAGTGGGAACGATAAAGTACAGTGATTGCGGACGCATACTACAAAGATGGCTGCCAGGTCAATAATTTGATTTCACAGAAGCGTCTACAGTGAGGGAGACCATGCGCATGTCCTAGTACGGTCTCGTCGGACCTTTGCGAGAGTAGTATGTCTTGACTTTAGTAAACTTCTGGTAAACAAGGCAGACTTGTATTGAAGCTGTCAAAAGCTCACTCACTCTCTGGTACTTAGATTCATTGTATTAAGGGAGGATTTTAGCGACAAGGGACAAAGGTCGGAAGATGGGAGATTCTAGTGGGAGTGACAGACGACTTCTTGAGAGTGCGGACCTTACGCATCCGCATCAAAGGATAGTCCCCCGCCGATCTATAATGCCCCGCAGCGCCGTTGAGTAGCCTTTTTTTTCTTGGCTCCCGTTAGCGTGAGAGCCAGCGTTGAAGAGGGCGACACCAATGAAAATCGTACTAAGGCGGAAATAACGAGCAAGGAAGGGGCCCTATTTCTCGAGTTAGGCCGTCTCTTCTTTTGTGCATCACTTGACCGTTTTGACATAATTTTACATAGCTGACGTTTTCTCGTCAGTCCGCCGTTTACAGATGCAGACCATGGTTGGGTTCTATTGACTGACATTCGATTACTCCGGCGATTTCGCTCTGAGTTATACAACAGTATGAGAGCATAAGACCAGATGGTAGCCTCGTTTCGAAGACAGCGTCCAAGGCGGACCACTATTGGTCGATGGATACAGCTTGATAAACTGATTGTTTATCGGATGTCTTCACTCACAATCACCTTTTGTCTTCCTATCCACACGCTCCGAGGTGGATTCCAGCAGCTAGCTGTGAGCGTTAGATCCTCAATTCGCTCGACGTTATCACCCCTGTATGATCAATGATCCTAACGAGGTCAGAGTAGAAGAATGGCCGGCTCTAAGCAAAATGTTGTCGAGGAATAAAAATGGAACACTGCAGAGGCGATACAGGCCAGCTAACTAGGTGAAGCTTCTGATAAATTGGTAGATTCGTCGTAAGGGCTAGTGCTGTCATTTCAAGGCGGTATGCACGGTGAACTGCTGTCAGACATTTTCTGTCATCGATTCGTCAATGATGTTTCCTTCCATTGGGGTACCCGACAGGAGGACCGTCGAGACGGCGAGAACGCAGAGACGCAGACGGGTCAGCGGACGAGTCGCAGCGCGTACTGTAGTGATTTCGCGTCAAGTTAAATAGAATGTATTGCAGTACGTCCCACATTGCACATACGCGCTGCGACTCGTTCGCTGACAGTCCGATTCTCTGCCTTCTCGCCGCGCGACCGGTCTTTTGTCGGGTACCAGCCCTGAACCCTGGGTTCCACTGAATCTGAACACAATATATTTAAATGTCTTTAAATTTCACAACCTACTTCTCCATCAGCAATCAGGAGCAAACTGGTGTTCTTCCTGTCTTTATGGTCAGCGTTCTGGCCAAAAGCCACCTTTATTTCTGTAAATATATGAAACTTCACATATTTGTGAAGATAACTAGAAGAAATAGTGGAGGCTCACTATCGTATCTTGTGTTACTGGTGATACGATCGATGTCTGGATCTGTAGAAATGACGAAAACCGGCTGCGTGTTATCGCCTGACGTCAGCCTCAGTGGTGAGCGGAGATGGACCTCCATTACGGTGGATTACAACCTTAATCAATTTACCAGAGTGGAGCTTTCGAAAACGGAGCGAGCGAGACCTCTCAATGTTAATAAAAGTAAACATGAATCACTAGGAAAACGCTGCCCTAAAAAATGAGGCAATGGATCGAACTCACCTCGAAAATTTTTGATTGTGTAAATTCTACAGGTAGGGCTATAGCAGACGGCACAGCGACCACAGCCGGAAGTAGAGCGCTGAGCTGGTTTCTGAATAAAGAAGGATAATAACATTCTGGGTTAATCAATAGTTTTCTGAG